ACCACTACATGCAACTAAACCTAATCCTGATATACACAATTACAGATGGGAAAAATGAAGGTTAGGGTAACCCAGAAGGTAAGAAACAAGGATCCTAACACAGGTCTGCTAGCCTCAATGGTCCATACTCTTAATGACTGCCCAACAGAATGTAAGCTCCACAAAGGCAGTACTCTGTCTGCTGTGTTCACTAGTGGATCTTTAGAGCTAACACAGTGCCTGGCACATAGCAGATAACAATAGTTATCTCTTGAATAAATGAATGATTTTGTTATATTGCCTCATTAATGTATCAGATAGTAGTTTAAATATAGATTCCATTATACTATATTCTTTTAGAAATGTTAAACAGTTATGGAGAAAATACATTGTTTTGGCAATAAAATTAGGACATCAGTGAAATAGATAAACAAAGAAGGCAATACCTAATTGCAAAGCACTGAAATAAACTAAATCACATCAATTCTTGAGAAACAACACCAATATACTGTTTTCTTACCTATAGTAACATCTCCTCTGATTTCACTTTCTACACACACAACTGCTCCAGGAGCAATCTTCACACTGTGAAGAAAAAGGCAACAATTACGATGGGTAATACACTTGACTGTTAACTGAAAGGCTGGAGGTTCGAGTCTACCTTGGAAGAAAGGTCTGGCGATCTACTTCGGAAAAATCAGCCATTGAAAGCTTTATGAAGCACAGTTCTACTCTGATACACATGGCTGTCATGAGTTAGAACTGACCTAATAGTAAGTAGTAGACTAAAACACCATCATAAAAAAGAATTAATTGCTTTACATAAATATTTTGGAATGATCTCTAAGCTATACTGTTAAATTAAAAACAGCAAAGCACAGAAAATGAACAGTATATAACATGTCACTATTTATGTAAAAAGGGAAAAGAAGAATGTACAGTATATTCAAAATATTTAACAACCAGCAAGGTAATACTCATTTAGAAATTAATGTAGCTATAAAAGTATACAAATATTCCAATTTATTCTTTAACTATATATATTATGAAACTGTTATCGAGTGTTTAAATTATAGTGCAAATTGTTCAAAAGACTAATAATCTCCAAATTGTTTGCTGATTATTTTTGACACAAGGATTTCTAGATAAACACTGCCCCTAGCTAAGCCACTACCTGTCATGAGGAACTGAATTAAATGACTTCCCGGTAAAGTTGATAGTTATGTCCTTGAAGGCAAGTTTGTGATCTAGCTCAAGGAAAATTAGGCATGAAAAACATGAAAGAAAAATTGATAGTCATTGGGTAACCTGTTCTCTTTAAGTAAAGAATTTTTCTTAACAGTAATGATATTGTTCATGGTGTGAAATCCACACTAAGCTTCTATGAAATAACAATACCATCTTGGATATTTTTTCTTTATAATTCTGTCTGGATTTTTTAAATTCTAGTTCTTCATTGCTAATAAACAGAAATACAATAATTCTGTATAATAACAATCTGTATAAATAATAATTTCGACCTCGTATCCTGTAACCTTATTAAATCCATTTAGTTCAAGTAGCTTTAGCTTGTTTCTAGATTCTTTGGGATTTTTCCACATAAATAATCACATCATCTGTGAATGGAGACATTTTTATTTCTTCTTTTCCAATCTGTGTGCCTATTATTTTTTGTAGCTGTTGCCATATTACCCTGGCTAAGATTTCCAGTATGATGTTAATTTGAAGTGGTGAGAGTAGACATCCTTGGTTTGTCTCCAATCTCAGGGGAAAGCATTCTAGCTCCATAAGATAAAAAAAATTCATGAAACTATCTTCTACGCCATGAAGTTTTCCTTTTAAATAAATTATTAAAATCTTAAATATCCACAAATGAAAAATGCTTATTTCTAACTTAAAGTAGATAGAAGAAAAATTTTTACTACTACTTCTATTTGTATTTCATGTCCTTTTTTCATACTTCTTCAATTAAAAAAAAATCACTATTACAAAATCACTATTACAGTCTTGATTTTTTTTAAATACTTTTTTGTGAAACAGATTCCTGATGTTATGTTAAATGTGTCCTCAATGGTGACTGCAAATTTTCTTTACATGAACTATATCCTTTAATAGGAAATGGATAAAATCCTGATAAAATATTTAAGTGTTTAGCACATTCAATTTTTATGATACAGATTTGAGCATAACTTTCAACAGGTGAAACCGGTATAGCGTACTAGTACATAACTGCTCAACAGGGAGTTATTTATTTGTATTTACTAGTATTTGCTTGAATATATTCATAAAACATCTCTGTAAGAACAGATCAAAGCAATGCAACCATTGCCATGGAGTCGTATCCAACTCATAGTGACCCCTCCTTGGGTTTCCAAGGCAGTATCGCTACGGAAGTAGATTGCCCAACCTTCCTCTCAGGGAGTGGCTAGTGGGTTTAAACTGCCAGCCTGCTGGTTAGCAGTCAAATGCTTCAGGCACTATGCCACCAGAGCTCCCGTAAGAACAGATAAGAAACTAATAATATTGATTGCTTTCAGAGAGGGGAGCAGGAAGATATTTTCCTTATATATCATTTTTTTAATCATTTGTATTTTCAATGACCTAATGGTATTTCCTATTAAATAAATGAAAAATAGAAAAAAACGGATAAATAAAACTTTCTTAAGACCAGGACACCAAAACGAATTATGGATATATTTCCATAGCAGGACAGCATTCCTAATATTGAATCTTTATCTCTCTTTCCTTAAACTGGCCCCTCAAATCATTATCTCTACAAGTTTATTCTCCCTTTAGTTTTATTTACTTTAGCTATACTCTCTTGAAACTCTTAAATATCATTTAACAATTTTTAGACTGCTTAGTTTCCCTTCCAGATTAGTTTCTTTCTTTTATAATATTTTTTTCCATTGTTTCAGCAACAACCATTTTTAACCAAGAATAAAATTATTACTAGTAGTATCCATTTCTCATTATCTTAAATCTTCAAATAAATAACCTGCTACCACCAATGTCCCCATTCCAAAGAAAGGTGATCCAATAGAATGAGTAAATGATCGAACAATATTATTAATATTGTAAAATTTTGCTGAAGATAATTAAAAACAATTGTAGCAGTATACTGCCGGAGAGCTAATAAAAATTCAAACTGGATTCAGAAGAGGATGTGGAACAAGGAATATCATAGCTGATCTCAGATGGAACTTGGCTAAAAGCAAAGAATACCAGGAAGATGTTTACCTGTGTTTTATTGACTATGCAAAGGCATTTAACTGTGTAGATCACAACAATTATGAGTAACACTGAGAAGAACAGGAATTCCAGAACATTTAATTGTGCTCATGAGGAACCTGTACATAGACCAAGAGGCAGTGACTCAAACAGAACAAGGGGATACTGCATGGTTTACAGTCAGGAAAGGTGTGTGTCAGGGTTGCATTCTTTCACCATACTTATTCAACCTGCATGCTGAGTAAATAATCTGAGAAGCTGAACTATACCAGGAACATAGTATCAGGATTGGCAGAAGATTCATCAACAACTTCAGATATGCAGATGACACAAACTTGTTTGCTGAAAGTGAAGAGTACTCTTACTGATGAAGATCAAAGACTACAGCCTTCAGTATTATACCTCAACATAAAGAAAATAAAAATCCTCACAGTTAGACCAATAAGCAACATAACGATAAGTAGAGAACATATTAAAGTTATCAAGGATTTCATTTTACTTGGATTCACATAGAAGCAGCTGTCAAGAAACCAAATGATATACTGCACTGGGCAAATCTGCTGCAAAATACCTTTTTAAAGTGTTAAAACGCAAAGATGTCATTTTGAGGACTAAAGTGCACCTGACCCAAGCCACGATATTTTCAATCACTTCATACACAGGGAAAAGCTGGACAATGAATAAGGAAGAATGAAGAAGAATGGATGCCTTTTAATTATGGAGTTGGCAAAGAATACCAAATATATCATAGACTGCCAAAACAAATCTGTCATGGAAGAAGTACAGCTAGTATGCTCCTTAGAATCAAGGATGCCAAGACTTCATCTTATGTACTTCGGACATGTTATCAGGAGGGACTGGTTCCTGGAGAAGGACATCATGCATGGTGAAGACGAGGGTTAGCGAAAAAGAGAAAGACCTTCAATGAAATGGACTGACACAGTGGCTGTTACAATGAGCTCAAACATAGTAATGATTGGGAGGATGGCACAGGGTGGGGAACAAAGGACACTATGCTGATGTCAGATGGATCTTGGCTGAAAGGAAGAATACCAGGAAGGTGTTTACCTGTGTTTTGATGACTGTACAAAGGCATACAACTGCGTAGATCATAACAAATTATGGGTAACATTGTGAAGAATGGGAATTCCAGAATTCTTAATTATGCTCATGAGGAGCCTGTACATAGACCAAAAGGCTGTCATTCAAACAGAACAAGGGGATGCTGAATGGTATAAAATAAGGAAGGGTGTGTGTCAGGGTTGTATCCTTTCTCCATACTTATTCCATCTGTATGCTGAGCAAATAATCTGAGAAACGGGACTATATGAAGAAGAATGCATTATCAGGATTGGAGGAAGACTCATTAACAACCTGCAATATATAGATGACACAACCTTGCTTGCTGAAAGTGAACAGGACTTGAAACACTGATGAAGATCAAAGACTATGACCAAAGATCACAGTCTGCAGTATGATTACACCTCAACATAGAGAAAACAAAAATCCTTACAACTGGACCAATAAGCAACATCATGATAAATGGAGAGAAGATTGAAATTGTCAGAGATTTTATTTTACTTTGATTCACAATCAACAGCCATGGAAGCAGCAGTCAAGAAATCAGACACTGTACTGCACTGGGCAAATGTGCTACAAGAGACCTCTTTAAAACTGTTAAGGAGCAAAGATGTCACTTTGAAAACTGAGATGTACGTGACCTAAGCCACGGTATCTTTAGTCACTTCATATGCATGTGAAAACTCGACAATGAATAAGGAAGACCAAAGAAGAGTTGATGCCTTTGAATTGTGGTGTTGGAAAAGAATACTGAAAATATAATGGACTGCCAGAAGAATGAACAAATCTGTCCTGGACGAAGTGCAGCTGGAATGCTGCTTGGAAGCAAGAATGGCCAGACTTTGTCTCACCTACTTTAATCACACTGTCAGACCCTGAAAAAGGATATCATCATGCTCGGTAAAGTAGAGGGTCAGCAAAAAAGATGAAGACCTTAATGAGATGGATTGATACAGTAGATGCAACAAAGAGCTCAAGCACAGCAAGGAATGTGAAGATGGCACAGGAGTAGACAATGTTTCATTCTATTGTATGGAGGGCTGCCATGAATAGCCCACTCAACAACACCTAACAACAACATTTCAGGAGAAATACCCAGTAAGTAATTGAAAATACAGAGCTGGAGCTCAGAGAGTTCTAGAGGGGAAATATAGCTCTGAGAATCAGCAGGGTACAAACTCTTTAACACAACTGTTCATCATTTATGTTCCAGAATCCTCCCCAAATATTTCCTAATACACAAGTCAAAGTAACATCCAAACTATTTATTTTTAAAAGTAGTCTTGTCTACTGATATGAAGAACTAAAAAAAGATATTTATACAAAGTTTTTTCTACAAATTTCAGTGAACAAACCTTCCTATCACAGTTTTTTAAAGTATATTTAAAGCTTCAAATTTAAAAAATTATATATATATCAAACAAAAAAGAAAACTAGTAATCTGAGTCTATCTTCTAGAAATGGCTGCAGGATTAGACACTGCTGTATGTTTCCAACACTCTATCAGGCAATAACTTTCTGCAAGGCACAAGTCAATGAAGTCCTAAAAATGATCCATCTGGACTGCTGCATGTCATAGACTGCTAAAATCATAGAAAATATGTAACTTTCCTACTGAGTAGAAGAAGAAAGAAAAACTTTAGTCAGATGAAGCAGAGTAAGAAAGTAGAAAATCACCTGGTACAAGTCTCTCATTTTATAAATGAGGAAAATGAGCTCAGAGACTATAAATTTCTTGAAGTTCATGCCTGGGAATCACTGTCCTGATAGCAATCATCCTGTTATTATGGATATTTTTCTTGAGATAACTCAGTGATACCTTCCTTGAATGTATTACCATTTGTAATGCCATTTCTCTGATTCTTTTAATTTAAAGTGGGTTTTGTGAGTTAAAATATGCATTTTTATTAAGCGCTGGTCAAATTAGTTAATATATAAAATGCCTTATTTTAGACCATAGTTTTCATTCCCTCAGCTTCCCTCCTCACTAATATATTTTGTGAAAAGACCATTATCTAACATTTAATTTGCCCTGGGCAAGTGAGGGTAGGAGAAACTCACAAATACTCCTTTAGTTTTATGTCCAAGGGAGAAGACGTCTCAGGTAGTGTTTGTGTCATAATCACTTCTACGTGAGGCATAAAATAAATTCACTACTAAAGCAACTAAAACGTGGTCCAAACATCTCCATGTAGACTCCAATGCACCGTGAAGTGGTGCCACATTGGAAGACAGCAGGTGGCTGGAATGGGAAGGCTTGGCCGAAAGCTCAACTATTAAGGTAAGTCAACAATACCTTCATCTCCACTGTATGTTAATAT